TGTGAAAAATGCGTAAAGACCAGGGAGCGTTCTCGCAGCAGAGCTGTTTTGAAACGTGTTTTTGCCATTTGTCCCTTGGCGGTTTAAAGGCAGAGCAGCAAACCTCAAACAAAAATCTGCGGCATTCTTTCACATAAACAAATGCTCTCCTTGCTATCACTGACTGACATTTACATCCATTTACTGCAAGTTTTTCCTTTAGATGGGTCCATTTGCTTATTTATGCCAGATATGAATACAAGTCGGTAAGCTTGTAATGTTGTGGTACTTGGCAACCTTGGCATTTGGTTTTGGTATTTAGTATTGGTGGTACTCAAAATGAAAGGTTTGTGAACCACTAATCTAAGGCAACGAGCGCCTGATGTGAAAGGAGAGCAAAAGTTAACTCATCTGAAACAAACCAGGGGTTTTGCATGTATGAAACAAAAACCCAAGACGATCTCTGACATGACGCCAAGTATCAAGCCAAGTAAATGAGACTTTTAAATACTTAATCATTTATTCAAACTCTTGTTGGTTATGAAATGTCAATTATATCATCTCGCTGTAGTAGCCAATAGGTCTTCAGACAAACTGTGGAATATGTCTTGTATGTAAATGCTGTAAACTACTGAAAGCTCACACCAGATCAGACACCAACCATCCAACCAAGACAAGAAGACGATCCGTGTTTTCCTTATGGAAGACGGTATTTTTGTGAATGCAGAGTGTTTAGCTAGCCAAACAACTTCTGGCCAAACTGCTACTCAAACTGTTTTATTATCCATCTTACACTGTATGCTAAAATAAATTTAAAAAAACGAGCCAAACGCACAACTATGGACTTGCAAAACCCATGCACCACCCAGAACTGCGCGGACATGTCTGAATGACATTCTGGGCAGAAAATATGTGCAGCGCTCGTTTTTTCTAGACGAGAGCAGCAGCTTACGTCAGCCTGTGGCTGTAATTAGCAGAACAAGAAAAACAATAATGATTTAGTAAGCTATGTTGACATCTTGTTTCTGGTCACAGCGCCATTAGAGGGCTATAAATGTGTGTTTCACAAAACTCCCCCGCCGCCGCCATCACCACCCTTTGAAAAATGCCACAATGCCGCCTGGCACGAAGCCATGTCAGTTAGTGTTTTTCTGGTCCTAAAGCAGCCGGCATGGATTTATGGAAGCGGAGGCGAACTGCAACACTTTTAAAGTGGGATTTTAACCTGATCTGACTGGCGTTTGGCAGAGGACCTGAATAGTTTTGATGAGAATCAATGGGGGAGGAGAGGTGCGGCAAAACCCCATTTTTTCACCTAGAGAGAAAGAGAGGCTCAAAAGCCACCTTATGTGAAAGTGATCTGAGAGATTTCTTTAATGGAGCTACCTTATGGCGAGGTTGGTTTTATCTGTGATAAATATTGCCGTCAAGCGCAAATCCTAGAGATGAGACATGACATTTTCCATCCGAGAGACATTAGATCTCTGTTGCGTTGAATGGGGATCGGAGCCTCGGAGGTTTGTGGAGTCACGACGCTACCGACAGATGATCTCCTTAAACTTTTCCAACTCTGAAACCAAATCTGGCTGATCTGCCTTGGAAGCCACCCCACAGATTTCGCTGCAGTAATATGGTAATCATCAGACGTACGTCCATGACCCATTCCTCTGGTTATGACCCAAACATTATACAGCCAGCATCTCTCTCTGGTGCCATGTGATATTAGCCCCTTCTTTTTCCTCATTCACTCAGACCTTTTCTGATTCTTTCAGTTGCTTTGCCTCCCCTTTAGTCAATTTCTCCCTCCTTAACCCCCTCTATTTATTCATCTTTCATTGTGGTAACTGTCAGCGTACAGGGAGTTGCGGTATAAAGGATCTATACCAGTTCTGTTGACTTTGGCCCAGTCCAGGCAGAAAGCTGAGCCTTTAATATGACTGCTTTCAATATCTGTCCCTTAATAAAACAAATAACTTTGTTTGGAGAGAAAGAAATAACGCCCCCAGCCCACTCCCCCAATTACAGCTGAGTAAGGAACGAAAGAGCACTACTGGATATGGATGTTTGTGTATGCAGTCTGCTTCGGGTCATGCTTAGTCTTTAAATTGACCTGGCTTAGAAAAATAAAATAAAAGAATGTAACAAGGAGCGCAGTCTCCTGTACAGGTCAGGGATTGGGTTTCTTCTGAAACCACAAGGATTGCAGCGTGTCACTCGGTAGAACCCTGATTTCTTTTTTTTTTTTTAAGTTTTTTTTCCCCAAGAGGAGAATAAGAAAGCAAAACGTAAAAACCTTCCATTTTTTCCACATCAGCCCTCAGCTCTCTGCAGCTAGTGATATCCATCAGTGTCACCCTCAGAGTAAACTTCACCAATAGAGAACTTTGCTCTAAAACTCACATGGATCATTTATCATTTTAGGACTTTTGTATGTGTTTTTCATGAAGTTTAAAAAAAAAAAAAAGTGCTTCAGTTGTAAATCCCTGTACTTTTTTTTTTTTTTTTTTTGTAGTTTTATTTTTTTTTTGTGTGTGTGGACTATCTTTAAGGGTGTGATATAAAGTAACTGTACTTTTTTGACAAGCTAGCCTCAGGAACCAGAAGAAAAATATGAAAGTTTTTCTGACAGCTTGCTTTATTTAAGTCACTAAATATTCTGTACAAAAGTAAAGTCTTTTTTTTAATGAAGTTAAAACATAAAGCTACACTCAGCAGTTAACTGCTTATAGCCTATGCCATTTATCTAACCGCAGGTTAAGATAGCTGCTAATGCTAATGGAGCTAATGGTGCATGTGGTTTCTGAACTCTTTATTACTCTTTACACAGTGAAATGTGGATTTTTATTTTTTTTAATGCTTCTCAGTTTACTACTTTTATGCTATTGATCTTAACGCCAGTTTAGCCAACTGCTAAAACTAACAGCGCTAACGGTGCTAACAGCTAGCCTAGTTTCCTTTGCGCTTCTCTCACACAAAAATGATTTTAGGACAAAAAAAAAATGTATGCGATGAGTTGTGACAACTTACATTATTTAAATCAACTGCTCTGCAAGAAACAGGCCTGTAATTGTTCTCACAGAGCTAGGAGAAAAAGCTGAACTCCACGGATGACTAAGCTTCTTCAGCTATAACCGCTAAAGACACTTATCAGTGTTTCCCATAGATAACTTGTCATGGCGGAGCATCGCTTCTGTGATTTTTGTCAACGGGTGTGGGGGGGAGACACGTTCTGAGCTGCGTGCTGTTTGTCCTGACAGTTTTAAAAGGGGGGTCAGTGTGAGGGAAGAGGCAGCGTGAGCACTGACGTTAGCTTTTTAGCTAGCACGCATGTATGTATTGTGCGCCGCTAGTTTTGCGCTATGTCATTAAGACGGTTGGGAGCTGGGGGGTGGGTCGGTTCGGTAGGCGGGGCACTCAGTCCTGTTGATGGGGCGGGGCGCCCCGCTTGTACAACGGCAGGGGCACCACTGCCTAACATTTAGCGCGGTCTTTGCACTCCTAACATGAACTGAAGCTGCACTTCACAGCTGACTACTTTGTCATTAATCTTACAAGACGTTCAGCTAATTCAGTTTATTTATAAAGCGCTAAGTCACAACGGAAGTTATCTCAGGGCACCGCACAAAAACATTCACATACACACAAAAAAGGACAACTAGTAAAAGTTGTCTTTCTGAGGAAGCAGCAGATTGCGCTGAATCCTCACTTCGTCACATGTTCCCATACTCAGCGAGCACAAAGGCAACAGTGGAAAGAAAAAACTCCCCTTTAACAGGAAGAAACCTCCAGCAGAAACAGGTCAGGACGAGTGGCCACCTGCTTCGACCAGCTGGGTTTGAGAGGACAGGAAGGAGGCCTCCAGTTCTGAAGTTAAAAACCTCGGTGTTATTTTTGACCAGGATGTCTTTTAACACCCACATTAAAAGATTTACCAAAACCTCCTTCTTCCACCTGCGTAATATCACTAACATTAAAACCTCTGATCTAAAAACAATGCAGAAAAACTGGTCCATTCATTTGTCACGTCTAGACTGGACGTCAAATACGTCTTTAAAACGTCTTGAGTTGATCCAAAATGCTGCTGCCAGAGTCTTAACTGGCGTTACTGGGAGAGATCATATCTCTCCAGTTTTAGCTTCTCTCCATTGGCTCCCTGTCAAATCCAGAATAGAATTCAAAATCTTACTTCTAACCTACAAAGCCCTCAACAACCTAGCTCCATCTTATATTACAGATCTTATTGTTCCATATTTTCCTAACGGAGCACTTCGCTCTCAGACTGCAGGTTTACTCGTGGTTCCTAGAGTTTCCAAAAGCAGAATGGGAGGAAGATCTTTCAGTTCTCAGGCTCCTCTCTTGTGGCACCAACTTCCAGTTCCTGTCCGTGAGGCTGACACGTCGTCCAGTTTTAAGTCTTTCCTTTTTGATAAATCCTACAGTTAGGGTCGGATTGGGTTTCTTGAGCTGCCCCTTATCCTATGCTGCTATAGGCTTAAACAGCTGGAGGACAAATTGACCACATTTCATCAAACAAATTGTTACAAATGAATAGTTTCTATTTGTAATTATTTATATTTGTATGTGTTTTTTTATTTATATTATTCTTCCAGAAGTCTTTTGAATAAAAGACGAAACGTTTCAACAAAGAAGAATCCGTCCAGAGGACCTGACTCAACCTTGAACTGAACTGTGTTTTGTGCCTTTATATATATTTTTATTTACACTTTGTTGTGTTTGTTTTAGTCTGTAGCTGCAGGGACAGAGGACTTATTTTATTAAATATACATTTGTATAAATTATAGTGCTGTGGTGTGTAATACAGTATTAGTTATATTTAGCCTTTACTGTTTGTTGCCAGTGCAAACAGACCAACGTTAACGTTCACCTTCACCTGGAACAGGATGCAGAGGAAAAGGTAACGCAACGTCTAACTGGATGGTAACAAAACGGTAAATACAACAAATGAACAGGTTAACGTTTTACACGAATGACATTAGTAAAAATGTGAGTATGTTACCTACATGAAGGCTGGAAGTAGAGGTTGAAAGGTTAATGATAGCTGAACTGGCTCCATCTGCAAGCTACAAGAAAGCATGCAAAAGCACAGACACGTAAAAACACGCACGTCCAGGTTAGCCGTTAAGGTCACGAACACTTCTTAACACAGCGTCACGATTAGACGTCAACGTTTAGTAAAACATAAAAGGACACTGAAAACTACATAGAGCCTCTTAGGCTAGAAACTTCCAGAAATGTCAGTATTTATTTATTTTTTTTACTGTAGTGACACTTTGGGAAACGGCAGCAGTTTTTACATCCACAAATTCCAACGAGTCAAAGAAAATTGGACACAGATTATATGTTTTGCCGCAGAATAAATCAAAAACTGGTCTCAAGGATTAAATCTTGGTTGGTGGCGCTAAAGCTAGGTGTTGCTAACCGTAGCATCCCATGTAAATAAATGTGCAACGCAAAACGGATGTAAATGTAAAGATTTGTAAAACAATGTTAGCGTGAATTGGTACCAACTTTTTCAGACTAGAGTTGTTTTAACATGTTTTAAATAATCTAGCTTGGTCTTAGCGTTGCTCAGGCTAGCAGTTAGCTCAGAAAAAAAAAACAGCTACTTCTGGTAGCTACTGGAGAATATACGGTAGAACACCAACCGTGGAAAAACAGGAACCCAAAGACGAAACGTCAAACTTGAGAATAATTTCTGAAAAGTTGTTTTCAGCTAGGAGGCCGTCGTCAGTGATAGCAGCGGACTAGAACGTTCCTGGAGAAACTTTGATGGGGACTGCCGTGGGGCGGCCATTTTTAATTTTTGATTTGACAGTACTGTGTGTTGGGGTTCACTCTCAGCTACCACCAAAACAAATTTCAGCTTAAAATGGCAAAAATACCAACGAGTTAAAGTCGCTTTTTTCTTTTAAGCTGCGGTGGCCATCTTGGATTTTGGAGTTTCGGTAAGTGATGGGGAACATTCTCAGCTATAACCTTGCCAAATTTCAGCTCTATGTGTAAAAATAGCTGATTTAAAGCTATTTAAAATTAGCTTTGGTGGCCATCTTGGACTTGTTTTATTCAATATTTATTGGGCATTGGTCTCAGCTATCACAACACCAAATTTCAGCTTAATATCTCTAAAAATGTCTGATTTTTTTCTTTTTTCTTTGTAGCTCAGGTGGATATCTTGGATATTTGATTTGCAACCAGAGTCTATGAAAAATTACTAATAAAAATGGCATCTTTGTTTGCAAATTATGTCGCCATGGTAACTCGAAACACCAATAAAATGAATAGCACGCATCACTGTGCTGAGCCGGTCGTTTTGATACAACACTTGTGGAGGTACACGTTGCAGTTTGGGCTGAACTAAAGTTGACGGAAGAGTAAGATTTAAAGCAGGTGAATAATAATTGGTGCTATCTTAGTAGGCAGCCTCCAGATATGCACAAATGACAGTTAGTTAGGTGTAAAAATAATAATAATAACACACAAAACACAGATATACATGTAAAAAATCTAGACCGCAATGAATCACAAAATACTCCCTTTGAGAACGGTAAGTATCTGTATAAGTATCTGTATAAGTATCTAACGGTTTAAGTATCCTTAAAAATGTCACAACTCAGATGACATGAAACCATGTTGCATATTGTTGTTTGAACGACGTCTTTTTTTATTTTCCAAATTACACCCACTAAATCATTCTCTTGTGCAGAACTTTCAGTTGTTACCACAAGTCTATTGTTTGTTTGCGTTCGAGTTGTCTTGATGTGAAGCCGCTTTAATTAGACGAGGCTGCTGGTGTCAGGAAGTAAACAAAGCGTCGACGCCCTCCTTGGACACGTTCCGCCCTCGAACGCAGATGGATTTATCTTGGCTCATTCTGGGCATTTTTGGACCTCCCATGTTGGTCAGGGTTAAAACCCAACGCGCTCGGACACAACGGAATGAACATATGTGGTCTGAGAAGGCGTCGGTGTTGAAACAGTGAGGCTTGGCGGTGTACAAGCTCCTAAAATATTGTTCTAGCACAAAAGCTAAATTAAATGTTGGTTGAAACTTCAAGAAACGGGAAAAAGACAAAGAGAAGAAGGAGAAAAAGGAGAATCATAAAAGAAATAAGACGACAAGAGGTCGAAGTCCTGAACGGTTCTTCTCACACAGATGACGTTGACACGAATCCCAGGCTTGGACTTTTTTCCTTAAAACACTAAAGTCCTCCAGTGATTCACTGTCGCTGAATGTTTCTTCTGCAGTCCTTTAAGGGCCAGTTTAGTGGTTTTCCATGTTAGAGCCCATTAACTTCAAGTCTTTTATCCTTCAACGTTAGTTAGAACTTTTTCCAAGACGTGCCATGTCACATTTACTGAATGCTGCAACTCTCGGTGTACAGT